CCTAACTAAAATCCTATACAGTTGCAATGTGACTTGTCAACTTTCACACTCAGTAACCTGATTGATGAAGGATAGCATACCATACACCTTCTTTACTACCCCATCTACTTGTGTTGCCACTTTCAGGAAGCTATGCACTTACACTCCAAGATTTCTCTGTATATCAATGGTTGCTAAGGTCCCTGCCATTTACTGTATATTTCCTTTTCAATTTGCTCTCCCAAAATGCATCAACTCCCACTTGTTTGCATTAAACTTCATCTGCCATTTCTCTACCCAAAATATATATACACACACACATATATATCCAGCTGTATTCTTTGACAATCTTCCTCATTATCTGCAACTCCATGAATTTTTGTGTCATCCGCAAACTTACTAATCAGACCATCTGTGTTTTCTTCCAAATCATTTATCCACATTACAAACAGAGGTCCAAGTACCGATCCTTGTGCAACATCACTGGTTGTCGACCTCCAGTCAGGAAAACACCCCTCCACAATTACCCTCTGTCTTCTATGACCAAGCTAATTTTGTATCCAATTTACCAACTCACTGTGGATCCAATGTAATATAATCTTCTGGACCATCCTACCAAAAGGGACCTTGTCAAATGCTTTACCAAGTCCATGTTGACTATATCCACTATCCTACCCTCATCAATCGTCTTTGTCACTTACTCAAAAAAACTCAACTAAACTTATGAGACAAGTTGTCCCTGTACAAAGCCATGCTGACTATCCATAATAAGTCAATTCTTTACCAAATGTGAGTAAATCCCTGTCCATAAGAATCTTTTCCAATAATTTATCTAGCATCAATATAAGGCTCACTGGCCTATGATTTCCTGGATTACCCCTGTTGCCCTTCTTAAACAAAAGACTGGCTAATCTCCAGTCTTCCAGGACCTCACCTGTGCCTAAAGATGATACAAAGATTTCTGACACGGCCCCAGCACTCTCCTCCCTTGTCTCCCTCAGTATTCTGGGATAGATCCCATCAAGCCCTGAGACTTATCTATCTTAATGTTTTTCAAGGCACCAGACACCTCCTCCTCCTTAATATCAACATTCCCTAGAATATCAACAGTCCCCTCCCTAATTTAAGCATCACCCTTCTCTTTGATCTTGGTGATTGCCAATGCAAAATACTCATGAATCATCTCACTTCCTCTGGCTCCACACATAAATTCCCTCCTTTGTCCTTGGGTGGACCTACCGTTTCCCTAGCTACCCTCTTGCTGCTAATATACATATAAAATGCCTTGGGATTCTCCTTAATATTTGCCAAGGATATTCCATGGCCCATTTTAGCTCTCCTAATTCCTTGTTTACATTCTTTCCTGCTTCCTTTACATTCCTAAGCACTTTATCTGATTTCAGTTTCCTAATCCTTACATATTCTTCCTTTTTCTTTCTGACTAAACTTTCAGTATCTCCTGTCATCCAGTGTTCCTGAATCTTGCCAACCTTATCTTTCATCCTTAGAAGAACATGCTGGTCCTGAATTCAGATTAACTGGCCTTTAAAGGACTCCCACGTGTCCCATACCCTCAAACAGCCAATCCCAATCCAATTTTTCCAGTTCCTGCCTCATACCATTATAATTAGCATTCTTCCAATTCAGTACTTTCACTCCAGGATCAGTCTTATCCTTAACCATAACTGTGGTAAAACCTATGGAATATGATCATTGTTTCCAAAATGCTCCTTCACTGAAATTTCAAATACATCCCCAGGCTCATTCCCCAATATGTGATCTAGTATGGCCCTTTCCTAGTTGAACTATCTACATATTGTTTCAAGAAGGCCTCCTGGATACAGCTAACAAATTCTGCTCCATCTAAGCCCCTAACACTAACAGTGAGAGGCCTAGTCAATATTGGGAAAGTTAAAATCACCCACTACAACAACCCTGTTGTTTTTACATCTTTCCATGATCACTTCTGTTATTTCCCACTCCCTATAATGTAGAAGGCCTATATAATAACCCCAGCATAGTGACTTGCACCCATCTTGTTCCTGAATTCCCATGTGGCCTCACTGAATGAGCCTTCCAAGATGTCCTCTCTCAGTGCAGCTGTGACATTCTCCTTAATCAATCATGCAACTCTCCCACTGCTTTTATAGCCCTTTCTATCATGCCTGAAGCATCTAAACACTGGAATGTTGAGCTGCTAGTCCTACCCTTCTCTCAACCAAGCTTCTGGCTCTAAACTGATCTGCATTACCTGCTTTATTCTTTGCATTAAAATAAATACACTTCAGACTGCCAATCCTGTCGTATTCATTAGCTTGGCCCTGCCTCTGCTTCCTATTCTATATATCTATCACAAACCATTTATTTTAGAAGACCATGTCTCTCTGTTTTCCATGTGGTACATGTTATATCAATTTTTACACACACAATTACTGTGGTAAAAGATAAACTGCCTTGTATAAGGAATTAAATATCTATTTTAAGTGTTGTCATTTGTGCTTCTGTGATGAGTAAACTTTCTAACATTGTATCCTTACGTGTTAAACACAGAGAGTATGACACCTTCCTGTGGGCAATGTCATCAAAAATCCCTGTATGTAAGGTAACAGTCCCTTATCAAAACCAACTGTACTGTTCAGGCTGCTCCAATAATTATGCATGGACACTATGAATAACAAAGAAAGGCTAACTCCACTGTTAAGACATAGAAAACGTGTAAATCTGATAAATTTCAGAACATTTTGAAATGAACATGTACTTTGTTGATTCGACATGTAAACCATATACACAGAATTGGAATTGTAGTTTCTTCAATAAGACTTTGACCATTTGTTGAAAACTTAAATTTGAAAAGGAACAAATGAGATATGCATCTAGAAAGCATTCATACCATATTTGTGAAGCATCCTAGACCTTTTTTTTTTACCTAATTCCATGCAATTATGAGGCTAGATGATGTCAAAACTATTTTACCAAAAAATCAATTAAGAGATTAAACAAATGATGATGTGATCAGTATGCTAGCACTATAGGATACAATCTTCCCTCTCTGACAATGAAGGGTAAGTAGTTTGTTGAGTTTGCTCGGGATAGAAAATCACCACACTCTCTCCAACTCTGCAATTAAATGCTGGGTGAGAAGGCCCATGGGAAACTTGCTTAACTCACTGTCAATTAAAGCCCTTAATTTGTGAATTAGTGGCTATTTAAGGGTCTCAACTGCGTACCCCCCAACTACTTGCCAACCCGGTAGGTGAGAAAGGTTTTCCTGAAAAACTGTTGCAACCTGCCTGCCAAGTCGGGTTGGTGGTAGGTCGGGTAGTGGCATCATACCTGTCTGATTATGAAGAATCAGAGGCATGGACGTCCTCTCAAAGCCACTCTCCTGACTCACTGCAACCCTCACTGATTGAGAAGAAGAGTAAAGATTCACCTTTCAGTTGCTAAAGAGCTGATTAGTGGACGGTCTGGTGAGTTATCTTGTCTGTGGGATTGGTATGTCAGTCATCACCCAAGACATTCACCCCACTCTTGGAAAAGAAATAGAATATTGTGCCCATAATGTTTATCCATGGGGGACAATTAGGGCTGTTGTATGGTCCCCTGCCAACAGACCTGCAGGCAGTGAGAGCAGTAAAATTTGCTGGATGGCATTCCCGCTGCCATTCCTGTATTCCCAACTCCTCATTTTATGGGGAAGGGGGAAGCGATTGAGGTCTGAACCCAATTACTGGCAACTTAAGGGCCAGTTCCAGCCCAGTGGCAACTTTTCATACAGAGGAGGAGATCATGACCATGAAGGAGGGGAAGGTTAGGGTGGGGGAAAATGGCAAGGCTCAGCAATTTCCCCTGCTTGGGCTTTGGGCAGGAAAGAGGTGGTGCACCTTAGTTACTATCTGGTACAGGTTTGATGCTGCCTCTCTGCCCACTTCAGTCCTGTGCCACTTTCTGGATGCTGTCTCCATTCTTGAAGTGCCATCAACACCACTTCTCTACTCTGCCCACCATACCAGAGCGTCCCCTACTAATTCAACCATGAATCCCAATACTTACCTCTGTACTGGGCTCTGGGACTGGCTATTGCCCAGCATTGGCTTCTGCTCACAGTCTGCTTGGAATACAGAGCTGTCAGCCAATCCGATCAGCCAGCAGCTCCCTGAACTGGGATGACCTTGGGATGTCCAGCCAATTAACATTTCTAAGGACAGGAAACCCTACCACCTCTAAAACGCAGCCCTTATTTCTTTTTTCAAATTTAGTTTATTCAGTTGTGCTTTTTTTCAGTTACTGCTTTTATAGCATCAAGCATCATTGCAGGAGATGCACAAGGTTACTATTTTAATTGTGAACTGGCTTCACAGCAAGTGAAATGCCATGTTGGCAATTAATCAGCCCTTTTGGACCCCCGAAAAATAAAACAGAAAACAGGTAATTCATTCTTGTGTGAATATTTGGTTTAGTAAACTAAAAGGCATCCTTTTCTTAACAATTTAGATCCAAGGTAGAAGCCCATATTGCATGATGATCTCTCAAGGTGCTGAGGTTAAGAATAACGTGTATTTCTAAACGAGATAAGAATATGTTTTAACTACTTTTGCTGTGTTTGGAAACAAATTGAACCTGAGATCTGAAATTTCCTTCCTAGGTCAAATCTAACTGAATAAGAACAAAACAGGAATTAAATCCAGAACTCTCATATTGTTATTTTCATCTGGCATGGAAACCTTTCATTTGGGCTGTTTTTTTTTTCTAGCAATATGAAGTTTGTTCTTTTTTCAATGAAAGTTAATTTTAATAATTTGCCATTTGAAAATAAATGTTACTTATCACTGGCCTTCTGTGTTGAGATCTACCATGGCTTCAAGACCCTGGTTTTGGAGAGAAAAGTGAATCCTGAGATTGTTGGCAGTTTAACATTGGCTGCTTCCTAATGTTATGGTCTATTGAACTGCAGTGACTTTGAATTGCTGTGCAGTAATTATAATTTTTTAAAAGTTTCACCATATTTTTATTTCTCTTAGATTACAATAAGTCACAAGAACCAGGCTCCGATGTTGAAAGCTCCACCTCCCAAGACTGGTTTTGTATCCTCAGTCATCAAGCGAACCAGGAACTAAGATGCAAGGATAAGCTGGGAAAAGAAGCTATCCTCTTAAGCAGCATAGTTTCTTTTAAAGTGAGAACAAGGACAACATGGAAATTGAAACTGAAATTAGGAATAAGTTGTACTCTATAAGGACCAGTTTTCAAATTTACTCTGACTGTAGGGAATCTCACCCACAGAAGCACATAATGGAAATTCTGTCATGCCCTGGGCATGGCTTTCCTCTCTGTTCACAATAATAGTCAAAAAATTAGATGGAAAACACATCCAAAGCTCCAATGGACACTGTTGACAGGAGAGGCTCCCCTGACTGGACGAAGCCAGAGAAAGTATCACTTAGATTAGAATAGTGCACGCCATTCATTCACACAGTCGCTATTGATGTGATTGAACATAAGAATTAAATCATGAAGGTTAACTGGCACATGTAACATTGGTCTTCAGTTTATGCATGACAAACATTTATGGCCTATGAGTTCAAATTGCATGAATTGCATTTAAGTTTAAGCGCAGGCCTACATTCCCTGCTTCTGTCTTTTGTGATAATTGGAAGACAATTTTTAGCTCAAAGCCATTCGCTTCAATAAAAGCTTTCCTGTGGTTAGGATGGAGGTCTAAGGTGATAGCAATTACTGTCATTAACTTTTAATGTATAGCAGAGCCACATAAAGCAACTGTACTGTATTCGTAATAAACCGGTGTGAAATTCCTTGGCGTATATTTAAATTAAAGTGTTAACTAATGTCTCCATTAAAATAAAAGTTTGTCATACAGATACATCTATTATTACCCATACCACATAAAACAAAACTATTAAAAGTTCTAGCAACTAATGAAAGTTAGAAAAATTATGTTATATAAAATATGATGGGCAGTTCCTTCTGAGTTACTTTGCCAGCCCCCTGCTTGTTCACTGCATGTCCAGAATTTCATGCCAACAGTAATGGGAGTTGAGTGTGGGGAAGTGGGAAGTGACAGAGAGTCAGTAGAATATATCCTACCAATTCTGCTGCATTACTATGCAAATGACAGAAATTTATCATCGAACGTAATTACTGTCACTTGCACTTTAACAATGCTGGATGCCAGGGATGATATATTTCCAAAGTTTTTACATGTTACTGTTCAGTGGAATAGTTCATGTGAAAAGATGGGAGCCAAGAAATAGAGCTGAAACATGTAGCTCAGGAACAAGGTGTCATTTACCTGTATGTGTTTTAGTGTGTGGAGCTACATGCCAATAGGGCAAATTTGTAGTATTGTCCGAAAAAGAAACTGACAGAGAGAGAGAAGTATTGATAGATTAAGTTATTGGGCAAAACCATAGCAAATGGATTTCGTCATAAGAAAATATGGCTCTGAATGTTTACAAGGTCATGGAGATGCCACAGCATATCCAAACTTGAAGGTAGACTTTGGATCTCAAAGTGCCACAGAAACTGTTTTTGCTGGAAAGGGGGTTTAGAAATAAGAAACCTGAACTCTGAAGGGCTGTTTAAGCTTGATGCTGAATTCAAGTGGACCAAGTTTTTACTGGAACACTTGGTGTGGAAGTTACAAATCTTCAGCAGCCTTTATGACTTCTTTAATGTGTGGATGAGATCTGTAGAAATTTTAAGCCGTCCGATTATTTAAATATACCGCCCTGTAAAAAATAATTTTAAAAGGAAAAAAAAAGTTCAGTTGAAAAACATTTGTTCCAGGTATTTCAATAGCCTTTTGTTGGCATAGCCCTAACCGCTATGACTAGAACATTATTCATGCTTGAGTGTTTTCGACAACCTATCATTGTCACAGTGATATTGAAGGATGAGGTGTCTTTGATTTGGGGTTATAGAGAGAAAACTTGCTTTTAGAAGGGATTAATTACTGCTCTAAATGTACTGATGTATCATAAATTAAAGATTTTTCTGTATAGTGAAGTTTTTAACAGATGTTTAGAATTTTATCTTAGCTCATCTTATGTTTCCTGAGGTCTGCCCATTGTGGAAAAAGGGTGAATTGGTACAAGGACTGTAACATTCCGTGGGACTGAATAGAGGCTCATGAGTTGGCACCAAGTTTGCATATGTATTTTAAGGAGCCATAAGGACAGGTCAGACGGCATGTTTTGGCATGAGTTAGCATGTATGGGGCAGACAGTATGGCTGGGGAGTGCTGAGGAATAAAAGCTGAACAGTGGAATGTTTGGGAAACAGCTGGGATGAAGTCTCAAGAGCCTGAGGTAGACCTTCTAGCTAGTGCACCATGCTACTCATCCATCCTGCACTTCCCATCCCACCCCCATCTCTGGAAGGAAAATGACTCCATTCAGGGCACTACTTTCAAGGTGAGTGAATGTGCCAGAAAATGTCTCTATTTCTCCATACCCACCTTGGGAGCAAAAAGTCAAAATCCTGTACTCACCCAATTTAGGTTTAAAATGAATAGTTAAACAACACGATGGGATTACGCTAGCTGAAGCTGTAATCCCAATGATTTGGAGGGTTAAAGAGTGATTTGATCAAAATATTTAAGATATTGAAGGGAGCATATGACAGTGTTAGACACAATCATGAGGCAGAGTTTTCCATTGCAGCTGGGAACTCAGTGTTGGGTTAATTTCTGGTTTATGAAATCAGATGTACTTGTGGCAGGCCATCAAGTGCAATCTTCCTGGAGGATGCTTATTTAGAAGCTACCTCTGCGTAAACCATTCAGTTCGGGACATTGAGCAGCCTGATGATGATGGAGAGTCAGAGTATCTGAAGAGAAAGGTGGCGAGCAGACCCACTGTGAGTGTTGTGTTTTACTGAGGTGAATGGTTAAGGAGAGGGTAGCAAAAGGGGAAGTCCTACAGCTTATGGGACCAGTAGCCAATTCCTCCAGCCAGCAGTATCCAGTGGATCCATTTTCAGATAACAAGCAAACAGTTGAAACTTTTTCCTATGCATGTCCTGAATATTGCCAGTTTTGTGTTTTAAAGTGGACAACTACATCTGAATCTCACAGTATGATGACCTGCTTCTCCATAAATCTATGAGATATAGAAGCAGAATTAGACCATTTGGCCCATCAGGTCTGCTCACCATTCGATCACGGCTGAAATTGTCCTCAACCCTTTTCTCCTGCCTTGTCCCTGTAACTGTTGGTCTCTTACTAAGCAAGAACCTATCAATCTCCGTCTTAAATACACTCAAATGACTTGATCTCCACAGCCTTTTGCAGCAAAGAGTTCCATTGATTCACCACCCTCTGGCTGAAGAAATTCCTTCTCATCTCAGTTTTAAAGGGTTGTCCCTTTACTCTGTGGCTGCACCCTCAGGTCCTAGTCTCTCCTAATAGTGGAAACATCTTCTCCATGTCCACTCTATCCAGGCTTCTCAGTATTCTGTAAGCTTCAAGGAGATTCCCTCTCATCCTTCTAAACTCTGTTGAATACAGACTTAGAGTCCTGAACATGACAAGCCCTTCATCCCCAGGATCATTCTTGTAGTCATTATTCTCCATGCATAAATTGCTTCCTTTGTTCTAAAACAAAAATTGGCACAGGTTTGTTGGGCTGAATAGCCTGTTCCTGTGCTGTACTGTTTTTTGTTCTAAACATCTTCTGGACCCCAGTCCAAAACTGTTTACAATCTTGCAAATGCTGTCTGACCAATACCTTATATAGCCTCAACAGTACATCTCTGCTCTTATATTCTAGACCCCTCAAAATGAATGCTAACGTTGCATTTTCCTTCCCAACTGCCAGCTGACCCTCCATGTTAACTTTAAGAGAACCTTAAACTAAGACTCCCAAGTCCCTTTGTGATTAATATTTCTGAAACCGTTCCTGTTTAGAAGATAGTCTATGCCCCTATTCTTCCTACCAAAGTGCATAATTTCATTTTCCCACATTGTATTCCATTTGCCACTTCTTTGCCCACTCTCCTAGCATCTCCTTCAGCATCCTCTCTGCTTCCTCAACACTATCTGTACTTGCATCTATCATTGTCATTTGCAAGCTTAACAACAATGTTGTCAGTTTCTTCGGCCAGATCATTAATGTATAAAGTGACTAATCATGGTGCCGACACTGACCCCTGCAGAACTTCACTAGTCATCAGCTGCCATCTTGGAAAAGACCCCTATTTTCTCCAGTCAGCCAGTCCTCAATCCATGCCAGTACCTTACCCTAACACCATTGCTCATCTTATTTAGAAGATCAAAGGCTGTCTGGAAATCGAAAGTGATCATGTCCACTGGCTCTGCTTTGTACAATTTGCTCGTTACTTCTTCAAAAGAATTCTAACAGATTTGTCAGGCATGACCACTCCTTGACGAAGCCATGCTGACTCAGCCCTATTGTACCATGCATTTCCAAGCACTCCGTAATCTCATCTTTCATAATCAACTCTAAAACCTTACCAACAACCAAGATCTGGCTAACCAGCCTATAGTTTCCCTTCTTCTGCCTCCCTCCTTTCTTAAACAGGGGTGTTATATTTTCCAGTCCTCTGGGACCCTCCCTGACTCCAGTGATTCCTGAAAGACCACCATCAATACCTGTACAATCTCCTCAGCTAGCTCCTTCAGAACTCTGGGATGTAGTCCATCTGGTCTGGGTGATTTGTCCACCTTCAGAGCTTTCAGCTTCCCCACCTTCTCCTTAGTGATGGCTTGAATGGCCTACTAATTTCCCCTGTGATCCAGAGTTTTCAATGATCAACTTTATATGGAATTCAATTTTCTGTAATAGTTTAAACATTAACTTTGGAGATTTTGGGCAACAATTCTGAGAGGATGAGCCAGCCTGCATGTCAGACGGTAATAAAACTTATCCCATTCATTTCTGGAAATATTCACCTGAAATAAACTTCAGAAAGCTATTTCAGTGGCCAAAATGATCAAGTCTTAAGTGCCTTACTGACCTTTTCTACAGTAAAATGACTGAACTGTAAGGACTTTCCAATCAGAAATGTATATATCTGTGTTAGAGGTACAGCCCTTGTCATGTAAGGCAAGTGCCCTGCTATCTGCAATGTAAGCAAT